CCAAGGGTTAAACATGTTAATTTACTTGTGGAAGAAATACAAAGTCAGAATTTTGTATAATTCTCCGCGATTTTCACCAATTTTGAGGTGGTTTCTGCGAGATTTTCGCAACATTTTCAATAGCTGTCAAGAGAAGACATTTTCCTTCTAGTAAAACAAGATCAAACAACATGGAAAGAGGAAGGATCCGCTACACAAGGACGATTTTAATTCTCAAATATATCGATGGAAAGTTCGATTTATCAATGTGTCGATATGTAACCTTACTGAAGTCATCAATAACTCCGATTGCGTAAATTGCGATAACGAAGGGTTAGAAGACTGAGAATAAAAACAGTGGTCGTGTTCCTCTCCTTCAGGAGAGCAATTTTGTGGAAAGTGAAGAGGAAAAAATGCAATGTTCATGTTTTGGGACTTTATTTCATAAATTGAAGACTCTAGGGAGTCAAGGCAACAACAGAATGTAACAGTGAGACAATTGCAATTCAGAGGTATGACAACTGCTTGTAGTCATGTCAGAATATAAACTCGATCACTTCGTAATTTGTGGCCTAGGAAGTAGCTTTGAAAGAATTAAACTTGGTTAAATTTGGTATCAAACTGATCTGAAATAAGTTGACTATCAATCTGGGTACCTGAAGTAATTTTCATTACTAAAAGAGAAACATTGAAGCCAACGTGTTGTGTGACATACATGGTAATATTTGCAATCTCTCTAATAGTTACAATGTAATAGACAGATAGCCCTAACCAAATTTGGTGTTGTTTCCTTAAATATTGTTTAAGGTAGGGCAAATTCAATAACTCCAGTCAAAAATTTCGGAATTTCACAAAAATTAATTTGGGCCCTTAAGGGTTAACGAATATGCTCGTTGGGGACTGCAAAACAAAAATAAAGATAGCCTGTGTCACAATACAGCCGCCTCTTCCCGGAAAAAAAATCGGAGAGAGAAGACGTCTCTCTCCGATTTTTTTTCCGGGGAGAGGCGGCTGTGACACAGGCTAAAAAAATATATATATTATTACATAATAATCAAC